ACCGAGCGGTGGGACAGGAATGTCACTCGAATGACTGAGAGGAAACATAGTGTAGTTAGTACAGACTGGCAAGTGTACTGCTTACTCAGCACTCAGAGTTTAGACTTCCAGGTCAACTTTGTGAAGAATACATGCATTCATATTTCTCCATGATTTACTGGCTCTGCCTAGACACCATGAGGGTAACAGTGTATTAATGGGAAAAAATCCCTGGTAATATTGTTTTAACAAGTTATCCAAATATTTTATTTGGGTTATGTGAATTTGAATTCCCTCTGAAGAGCTGGACTGACTCCTTTTGGTTTTGTGATTGCTTCAGAAGAAGCCAAACGGCATTGCAATTTCAAAGGCTCCATTTGCAAGGATTTATGCAATTTCAAAGGCTCCGTTTGCAAGGATTTAATGCAGTCTGAGGGGCTTGAGCACAGTTCCAGGGGCCTGTGAAGCACATGTGCACCCCCACAACACAACCGACCTCTCAAAGCCAGTCTGTGAGGGTTTAGCAGGAATTCACTCTGGAGTCAAAGCCTGACAGTAGCAAAAGCCAAGTCCAATCAGGTTTGTCTGAAATCAAAGAGTTCCTTGTCATCCAAATGGCCTGCTTACAAATGCTTGTCTCTTCAGGGGTCCTATTAATGCTTCCTTCATGTAAAAAACACACATTGAAACTTGCTGGCTGTTAGCCTGCTAAAAACCGGTCCTCTGCTGGACCTGACCATCTGGTTTACCGGTGCCCATCTCAGAGTCACATTCTTCCAAGGTGAAGCCCCAAACAGCAGCGGGGCTGCTAATCTACTTGGCTCTGTCCAGATGTCTTGGGCAGAGTAGGGAAATGCTATCTCTCTTATGCCTTAAGGTCTGTCTTGGAAAGCTGATACTTAAATAGGGTTCTACTCACTCCAGACTCCACCCTGCACAGCTTGGCTGAAAATCCCTCTGGGTCTTCTAAGCTGTGGTTGTTGATCTGGCTACTTGTTCCAGGACAGGATTTTTTTTTTTTTTTTTTTTTTTTTTCAGGAGAGTCCTGACACTTAGCCTTGCTCTTGGATGAATGTGGTACTAAACTCCTCTTCTTAGGAGAAGGTGGCTAAACAACTTGGTCAACTGTCACACACTGAGAAGCGGCCCATGCAGAATGACAGAGCCTAGCTCTAGATGGGAAGGGGCAGAGATAAAGGACAGAAAGCACTATAGGGACTTTGCTGTGTTTTGTTTTAAACCTAGTTCATCTGTTCTATCTTACAAAACAAACCAAAACCCAACTCTACTCTCCAGTCACCTTTAAAGATGGCAGTATTACTCTAGCACTAGCATCCTCTAGGCCACCATGTGGTACAGTTCACCTAGACCAGGAAGGGTTACTTCTTAGCCTCTCCAACTGTAGTTCCACGCAGTTACCTCGTTAGAGGAAGAATTAGAATAAGTATGGCCATAGTATGATTACATATGAGGGCCTGCTTTGTAATGGAGGGTTTTCTGGATTTTCCTGCTAAGTCTTCGTTGAACATGAGACAGAGAGATGACTTACTGACAGCAGTGTCACTTAGGAGGCACTGCAGCGAGGTACCCCTGCTCCAACCCAGGTTTAATCACAATCTTCCAGGCGGCTGAGTCTGTTGGGGCTGGGTAAGTGCTACTCTTTCAGGGACTGCCCTTGGTGCTGGAACTCAGATTCCTGTCACATCTCAGAAAGTGCTCTTAACTGCGGGGACATCTCTCTAACCTCCTTTTTCCAGTTTTAGGAATTGGCAGAGAGGGTAATACTCATATAAGTGGACACTTCTAATGAAAGTCATAAAAAGTGCTTTGTACATAAAGTAGAGCGATTTGAATTTATTAAGTAAATTCCATTGGGTCCTGGTTAACTCTGGAAACCTCAATCAAGTTTTGATCCAGTTTTTGTTCAGGAAGTATACAAATAATAGCAGGATCATTAAAGTCATAAGATAAAGGTTTCATTAAACAATGATATGTAATGATATATCTTGATAAGGATTCTTTTCCAAAACAGGTTCTAAGTTAAAAATTACATATTAACTACTTTTATTTTGCATATGCTTTCATTTAGGATTATCTTTAAAATGTCTTCTAAATTCTATAAAAGTAGCAAAAATAATGACAAGGAAAACACTACCAAGTAAAAAAATGACATGAAGTTCAGAGGTATGCAATGCAACTTTGGAAAAAAGAAGGATGAAGAAAGGGAAAAATGCTTCTGATTGCAAGAAAGACATTGGATGCTAAGAGAATTGTTCCAAAATGAAACTGGATGCAAATATTAGAGGACCAAAATGCTATACAAAGTGTGTAAGCACCAAACATAGGGAAATGGGCAGGATTGTAAATGATAAACTGTTTATAAAAGCTATTATAAAATTTAAGGCCAAGTTTCATATCTTGAGATAAAACTTCTTGATTCTGTTTACAATGAAGTTTTTTTTTTAATTCTAATACTTAGTAATGTTTTAAAAATGGCTTAGAAAAACAAGGGCATTTCCCTTTTATTAAATGAGACATTTAAAACTTGTGACTAGGTTTTTATACATATTGTATGTGTTTTCCATTAGGCAAAACCTTTGCTTGTTAGAGATCCACTGCCTTAACATAAGAGATAATGTTCTAAGGAGAATTTTTCCTACTTAGAACATTCCTACCAAATTAAATAATGACCATGGAACTAATTTTAATGGCTAAATATTTAAATCTATTTAATATATTGATAATTAACTAAAACGTTGGCTTTCTTTTAAGATTTACCCCTTTGGAAAACATCTGCTGTCTCCTTATAAAAATAAGTACTTGGCATCCCATAAAAATATAAAATAAGGACTTGGCATCCAAAACATAAATAAGAAGTATATACGCCATTTCCATGAAAGGAAAACAGCCCAGTATAAAGGTCTTTCAAATATGATAACTAAAACTCAGAACTAGGTAGTCTTTCTTGAAGGATAAGGAAAGCCAGACGGCTTCATCAACTAAAAGGGAAAAAGAATACGGCATGGAAGACTACTCTGATGGAGGAGCAGTGTTCTTTCCAGGTACTTCCAACCACTCCTCTTCTATGCAAGTGGAGGTGAACTTTAGATTCACATTCTCACATCAGACATGTGCCAACTTCACTGAGAACACATCACACAGACTCTAAAGATGGTGATAAACCCCACTGGCTACTGACCACCAGGATAGGTAACTCAACATTTCTTACATTGTATTCCTTAAGCCCTTCTGTAATTAGGTTTTTAAAAACATGTTTATGATATTATTTCACTTGGTATAGCCCCGAGTGATGATAATGCTAATCTTGAGGCATTACATTTTTTCCAACTTTTGTGGCTTTGCTGCGATTGTCAGAAAGCCACTGTCCTAACAGGGAAGCTTCTATTAGATGAATTCTTTCTTCTTGTAGCATTTTTGCTATTTTACACAATGATGTAAAACTCATCTTAGTGAACACATACTTAAATCTCTTTGTAAAATCTGGCTTTTTGTTGCACAATTTTCCTTGTGCCTTCAGTTGTCAATCTTCTGGATTGAGGATTAATGAATACCTAGAACTGTAAGAAAATCAATTGTATAATTGACTAAAGCCCTTGGCTCTCTCATCCAAAGACATTTCTATTAGTTCTAATCTAGGATCTATTTGGGGAAAAGAAAAATATCACTTATCACCTTATAAAATGATGGCTGAGCAAAGAGCTCTCTGAGCTATAAAAAAGGCATTGCACACAATTACAGGCTCATACAAATGATAACACAATCCAGAATCGGCTAGTCTTTCTACAGTGAGTTCTTGGGAAACAAATAACCTAAAAGAATGAAAGGCAAAACCAGGTGCTGTTATAATCCTTCAGCCTTGGTGGAAAGACCCTTCTAGGTGCTTCTATGACCTCAACAAGACAAATGCTGGGATTCATATCTCTTATCTCAAACTTGAGCAAGCTCCTTCTGAGAACACACCCACAAGACTGTAAAACTCACCTTCAACTAAACCAGCAACTGAGTACACCAGGCAACTGAATCTGAACCCTTTTGACATTTCTTCTGACTCTTACTCATACAGTTCTTAAATTGTTTTTTAATCAATGTTTTAAAAAAATTTTCTGAGACTTTTAGTGCTTGCCATGGTAAATGATTGAAATAATGCTGCTTCCAACAAAACCACAAACGAGATTACGTCCCCTCACTCATCGTATTCATATTCACAATCTTAGTTACTTAGCTGTGAGACTTCCGGCATGTGTTCACATAAATGTTATGGCACAGCAGTATGAAATCAGATGCAGACCCTGCAGATGGTGGCTGAGAATATTATCTAGGTGTCTACCTCATGGCCTCCCACAACTGTTCTCTTCTCCCAAAGACTCAGCCCCATCTTTAACAGAGCCTAGTAACCAGCCTTCCTAGCACCAAGGGACATAAACACAATGCTGACTTCCACATGAATACAACGATGCTTGACCAAGAAGGAAGTGCACGTAAGTTTACAGAAAAAGAGCCACAGCTACACTGAGGATTCTGTAAGACTGATGACCTAACAGGGTACCAACAAGCCAAAGCAAAGATTTCACCTGAGCGTGGCTTGCTGAACCAATGAGCTCATTGGAATTTCTCACGGGAACATGAGTCACCAATACAGGGATATTTCATGAGAGACACATCAGAGCATTCTCACCTTTAGTTAACCTCCAGCTGCTACATCCTCTAGCATCTCTTAAGACCATAAAGAGCAGGACTGGCTATGCAGGACAAAGAGGTGACAGAAGCATATACTTGTTAGAGTAAACACTTTTGAACTGGGCTGCAATGATGAGTTTAGCAGAATGGGAGGTAAGACAGACATGAAAGGTAAAGCAAGGAACAGGTAGGATGGGCCCTGTTCACGGGTATAAGAACATTAATCCATTTGGTGAGGAAATGCATACAGATGGGGGATGTTTGGCTATTACAACAGCACAGTGTACAGCGGCTATGTTTTCAGTTAAGGGACACTGAACAGATGACTTAGTAAGCAGTTTTATTAAAACTTATAGCATTTAAAGCAGGTTCCATAAGACACTTGTGTAAAGTAGTATGTTCTACTGCACTATCCTGATGAGGCCCGCCTTGAGTCTTCCCACAGGGAACGCAAGCGCATTTCCTCTCTGTCCTGGGTCATGGCAATTCCCCAGGAAGTATCCCGTCTCCTGCTGTTGTTTCGCCATTCCTATTTTTCCTACAGCCGATAATCATCAGGTCTGAAAGATAAAAAAACGTGTGTATTTATTCATGCACCATTATTTCATTTTCTCCTGGCTGAAACAGAAGATTACTTTCCCATTTAAAATGGAAGTATTGTTTACCGAGAACAATATTTCTAAAATGCATCTAAACCCAAGTATCAAAACAGAAGAGGCAACTTCAAAGCACTTTGGAAGTAGACCCCTGATATCTATATACTCAGTAACTGAAAAGTTCAGTTTCTCAGGCTGGTCGGGGGTTCAGTGGGTAGAGGTGCTAGTGTGCAGGCCTGGTGACCTAAGAATGAGCCCTGGATCTCACACCACAGCAAGAGAAAATGGATTCGCACATGTTGGCCTCAGACCTTGGGATGCAAGTGTAATATGCTTTTAAACACAACAAAACCCCTAAAATAACACTTAGAATAGACTTCTTTTTATGGTAACAAGTGTCGCTGATCTGTTCATATCTAGAAGAACAACTGCTTAGAAGGCCCAATGTGAGCAAAGCACAGCACCACAAATCCCCAGGTCTACAGCAGTCAGTGGTGCTCAAACTCTGCACTGTTGCTGTATAAAGGTGAATTTGGTTTACTATAAAGCATCATTAACAAGTGAAGGATTAAAGTGCAAGGCAGTTCAAGATAAAAATGTCCACCAATGTACTTTTCCAAATAACAGTTCTACAGAACTATGCAAAATTTCAAAATTAAATACGTCTAAAATGAACCAATAAAAATTTTCCATTTCAGCAAGAGCACCACAGAGTATATAATCATTGGAGTTGTATAATATGCTGGCAAAACTACAAAAATTATGGCAATAATTACTGAAGGTATTAAAACAATTGTTCACTTGAAAGCTACAATTTCGAGCAAATGAACTGTAAAGAGCAGCCTTGATATTTTCTAATTTCTTCTCATAAGTAAGGAGAGATGCATAACTAAGTGCATACACCACAGTCACACTTGTTCATACAGGCACACACCTAATTTGTATTATCTAGAGCATGTTTCCCCCAAAATTCTGTATTCTTTAGATGTAAAAGACACTAACATGACAAATTTACCCATTAATGAAAGAAGTGAGATGAATAGCCAATATTACCAAAATGGAAAAATGGCTTTACTTTAAAAAGTTACAATTTTTGTTATCAATAGATCTCATCTCTTGTTTAAAAAAAAATGACTAATCAGACAAGTGATGATGGGGCACACTTGGGAGGCAGAGGCAGGTGGATCTCTGTGAGTTTGAGGCCAGCCTGGTCTACAGAGTGAGTTCCAGGACAGGCACAGAGGAACCCTGTCTTGAAAAACAAAGACAAGAAAACCAAACAAACAAGCAAAGAAAGACTAATCAATAACTAGGAAAAAATTCCTTAGTACATGCTGAGAGTAGGCCTAAAAGAACACAACTTCCTTAAGCACTAAAACAATTTAAATCAGTGGTTCTAGCCTTCCTAATATTTAAGCCTTTAATACAATTCCTCATGTGGTGACCCAACCATAAAATCATTTTTATTACAACTTCATAACTACAATTTTGCTACTGTTATTAACAGTAATGTAAATATCTGTGTTTTTCAATGGCCTTAGAAGTGGTCATTAATAATCAAACTTATTAATCACCTACTGGCTTAATGTTTAGGTTGACAATTATTACTATTGTTCAAAAGTTTTAGCCTCCAAGAGAAAGTTTATAAATTTCCCTACTACAAAAGCCAACAAAAATCCCCATACAAGTTTTATTACCAGACACACACACACACACCTCCCCCCTCCAAAGGAGGCCCCTCCCAGTGTATTCACTCCTGGTGTGGTTCAAGGACACCTGCTTCAGCCCTGTCTCTGCAGAATCATTGTCAGATAGACCCTGAATCATGCCTAATGATTACATTCCAAAGTAAGACTATATTCTTGGTTCAGTTATTTTTTGGTGGAATAAAAGTTTATTTTAAATAAGTTCTTCCTTCAAAAGGAGAGAGATTTTCATCCCATACAGGTGAACATTCAAAAATAAATTCTACTTTCAGTGCATTGAATTAAATGCTTTTTGAGATACTTTAATTTTACTTCTAAACTACACAGAATTTATGAAATGCTAACCATCAATGGTATAGGCCAGCGAGGCCGTCACTTGTGGTTACTGAAACTTAAGCTTATTAAAATCCCATCAAATTTAAGCCTCTTCCTTGCCACACACTAACAGTGGTGCAGGGTTCAGTTCTGCAGCTGGCCAGCCAGATGTCTCCGAACCTCTTCCTGATCACATGTGTTTCATGTACTAAAAACTACCTGAACCTGACTTCAGATCTAATATGAAGAGAAAACAACATTTTGAATAATTTATGTCAAATGATTAATATACCTATACATGATAAAGTTTCAGTAAATGCATATTCATTTACTATTTTGGCAATAGAAGTTACCATGTGCTGCATAACTACTTAGGAGAAAAGATCACAACTTTAATGAGCCATAAAGAAAGCCCAATGTCTAATGCATATTCCTGCTACAGGGGACTATGGAGAGAAAGGGCAGGAAAATCCATCCCCACAGTAGTAACTCAAAACCAAACCAAGAAGCTCCAGCTTCCACTGAGAATGTCCTTAAAAGTAATCACAGAAAAGCCCTTTTCTGAGTCTATTTATTCAGTGGAGATACTCAGTTACATTAAGCAGTGTAGCTTTACTGTTTGATATAGTAATATTAAACAGACTTAATTTTCAATGTTAATATATTGCCACACTGTTTTTGTTAAACTCTTTAAAATGTATTATAACTTTAAGTTCATAAGATGTGTTTGGTGACATATTTGGTTAAATTGCACCCATGGGAGATAAAGTTAAGAAATGGCTACAATGATTCTCCTGGTCAGGACTATTAACTTACTTTTGACAGTGATTCTATGAGACTATTAGACATGGAATACCTATATTTGGGAGGTTGTCACAGAAGACAAGTTGATAGGACTTTATAGGACAGATTATTGACTTTTTTAGAATGTGATTTAACAAAGCTGAGTATCAGGCATTCTTTCTATGTATATAGTTTCATATAACGATGCTATATTACCAAGCAAGTGGGTACTAGGTAAATTCAGATGAGGAAATAGGATTGTTTAGGGTACAGAACTAGGTCATATAGAGGCAAATCCAAGCCTAAGTATGGAAGTTGTCTAGGTTAATTTTGAGGGATTTTCAGAAACACTCACTGAGCCCTAAGAACATGTGGCAACTCCACGAGTTGCGGTTTCTTAGATGCACGGACGTTCAGTACTTACACCCACAGGCAGTCAGTAGTCATTGACATGTTTACAGTTTGGGAAAACATGGATGCACAGGGCAATGGGGACACTCTAGTACTACAGCTAGGAGGATGACCTAGGAGCTGGCCACCTTCTGCTCAATTCTAGTCCACTACTTAGGATTATGTGATTTTAGTGGCTAACCCACACCTTTCTCTGCCTGTATTTTCCAACTTATAGAAAATGGGGATCAAACTATACTAACTTATTAGTATGCTCAGAGGATAAGTAGCTGTAATTATATGTAAAGTACTGTAAATTCTTACTTACTATTTTTACTGTTATTAATATAGGGAGACAAATAATAAAAGATATAAATTATTCTGGGTAGTGATATATTTGTAAAAACTGAAAAATGATTGTTTTATTGTTTTCCTAAATTATATTTTTAGAACTTCACTTAAGAAAGCTGATAAAGAAAATTATGCATCTTAATTAATTCACTTGGTAAGAATCTGCTGAGTGCTGATAAAGCATGCCAGGTACTAAGCAAGACCAGGATGTAGTCTTCATGTGAAATCAAATGAGTACAAGACACTAGAATAAGTACGGTAGTGAAAAGGAAAGCCCACACAACAGCCTACAATGGTGAGCCTAAGCCAGTAAGGACTGCAGGAGGCACTGCCTGAGAAGGTGGAGTTAGGCTTCATCTGTATTTCCAAGTCAAAGAAGCCTGGAGACAACTTGTCATTACAGGCATAAGATACAGGAAATTTATATGGAAGAAAGGAAAACTTTTTATTTTATTTTTTTTCTTCTAGGATCAAAACTAAAATTCCAGAGTCAAGGACTTTTCGTTAAGAGACATTCTTGTCTTGTGAAACAATCTAAAAATCCAGACTCACTGCTTTAGGTTAATGACAGTGGATTGATCATTAAAAGTCAGTCACTCTAAATACGGTAACCTCAAGTGAAGTCTCCCTTGCACTTACCTAGCATGGCCACGGGTTTAAAGACCTTTAGGGCCAATATCTCCATTGGAGTTTATTTGTAGTTAATAGCCAGCTGCTGAGTTTCAAAGGAGAAAAGAAACTGTTTACTCCTACCACCTTTAAGGATGTTACTATTTTAAAGGTCTGCTTGAAAGACAGAAGAGTGGAAAGACACAAGGAAAGCATACTTACGGGGCCCACACTCTTGGGAAAGCCTCTATTTCTTCTTGGGTGTACTCATCCAGCCGTTTAGGTACTTTACGTGGCTGAGGAAGCTCTTCCACTAAATTCTTAAGAATATCTTCAGGAATATCCTAAATTAAACGTATTAAGTACTTAGAATTCTTAAAATATATTTCCTATTAATACACAATAAAAAGTATTAAAAACTAGCAAAAGGAATGAGAAAAACACCATAATTTTTAAAATAGTTTGTATAAATTCCTGAAAAGTACAATGTACCAGTGATGTGTAACTGGTCCTTCCCTTCTTTTCTCCCTCCCTTGTTTTGCTACTTGAGACAATGTTTTATCCAAGTTGGCCATAAAACACTCTCGATAGCCCAGGCTGACTCTGAACTTGTGATCACTCTCCCTCAGCCTCCCAAGTGCTGAATCACAGATGTATGCCATCCTGGCAATTCAATTTTGAAAATGTAGTCATTAATTTATTCCCTTCCTGTCTGCTACAAGAAGGAGCTGTCTTGGTTCATGCTCACACTTCCACCCAACTGAGTGATGAGCCAGCTCACTCTACCCTGTTACTTTGCCTTCTCAGAATTTAGTCTGGTTATGCAGACAGTGACCTAGCCTGTACAAATCATAATTTAAAACATTTTTGTTAAGCCATGGGCAATAATTAGCAACAGAGTTATTTATCTGTGATCCACAGAAAGCTTACTGTTTATCACATAAAATGAAACAAAATGACTTTCTCACAGTTGATGAAACTAACACTGAGGATCTCCATTTCATAGGGCACTCATAATAATTCTCATTAAAAAGAAAGCAGAAGCTGGGCAGTGGTGGCCTTTAATCCCAGCATTTGGGAGGCAGAAGCAGGCAGATCTCTGTGAATTCAAGGCCAGCCTGGTCTATAAAGCTACAGAGAAAAACCCTGTCCTGAATACCTCCCCACTCCCTCCCCCTAAAAAAAGGAAAAGAAAAAAGCATCTGACATGCAAACAGAACTTGTAGATCTTCTGATTTTTATTTTAATGATGTCATTTAATGGTTTAACATAAGAATAATTATCACTGTGTATGAGTGTGCACATATAAACATACAATAAATATGCTGGAAGTAGAGAGACAATTATTGAAGATAAACCTATGGCAATTGTTTGAAAGCTGCAAATAAGGCTTCCCTGGGCACTGAGTTAAAGCACTGTTCTCTGAGCTGCTGACTTACCTCGTCTGGAAAAAGATGCAACCTTTGCATCATCGTTCTCCTGTGCAGGTTTTTGGGCAGCATGCCATAAGTAGCTAATTTCACAATCTGAAAAACAGATCCACTGAGGACTTAATAGATGATGAGACTCAGGATGGACTGAAAGCAAATACAATTAGAGATGGAGGTGGAAAAGGACAGCAAAGATTCCTTCATGTGAACACAGTAAAGAAACAGACTGAAGCAAGTTTCACAGGAACACCAGAAAGGAACTTTTACTACCTTCTACATTACTGTTTTCTAGAGGTGCTGTCCTCTTATGGCTGATAGAGAAAAAGAGCAGATGGAAGGGACTAGACATAACCCTTGTATGTGCTAATTTTACACAAGTCATCTTCTAAGTTTACATAAGAACCAGTGGGACCTGAATCCTGTCTCCTCCTCCAACAGGAGACCAGTGAGATTTAAACTCATAAACTAATCTAAGTACAGTTATATTGACAGTAAGACACAAGTTACAGCAATGCCCACAGGCAACATTCACCAACAACTGACTATTTGTATGGTAGTCAGTGTGTTTCATTTTAACAGCATATTCATGATGCTGTGAAGCAAGGGCTATAATCAACCTCACCTAGCAGCATCACCTAGCAGCAGAGACATTGACTGTGGATATAGACTGGCCTAATTTCATCTATCTATCAAATGGCTACAGGCATTCAAAGTAAATGGTATTACCTAGGAACAGAAACACAGTATATGCAATCACACCCAAAATCCATGTCTCTCCATAACTTATTAGGATGTATGCCCTCAGGGGGCATTGCACACACATACATGCAGGTAAAACACTCTTCACCGAAAAATAATGAAATGTTAACAAATTAAGATCTTTCAATAAGGTAACAATGCAAATAGGTTTAAATGAAATATTTTCTATGCCTTCAACGTTTTGTATTGTTTCAATATCTGTTCATCAAAACTAATTAGAACAAAGTAGAAAGATACATGAGCATTGCCCTAATTAAACCCATTTGTTGCATGGCAACTTGAATGTCAAAAATGTTAAAAAAACATTTTTTACAAACCTTATTAAGTGTCAACATTAAAAAGTTGAATTATATTGCCTCCTAGTGTACAGTTAACATACCCAATGAGATAGAAACTAACTTTGAAACTTTTAAACTTATAATTTGTTATAACTGTTATGTGAAAAAGCATCATCCAGCCAGCCCTACTATTTTTCTATACAGGCCATAACAAGTAAGATGAACAAAATACCATGAGCTGTGACAGTGTAAAACCACACTATGAAACAGAACATAAACTAGTTCCTAAGAAGTGGTGTCCGAACATGTATTATACAGACAGTAACATGTAAACCTCTAAATGGTTGCCAGGTCTTACTATAATAGAATATCCGTCTCCTACATTTAAATCATCAAGAAAACTCGAGGGAGTATAAACAAATGGTTTCATCATGACAACTTATCCACCCTCCCTCCAACTTTTTTATGAAAATAAGGAGGAGTATTTCTGGAATAATACCTTGTTCACTTATAAATGCATTTAAGAAAAATGCTAGTAGTCACCAAAGGCAAAGGGCTGTTTTTTGTATGCGTATACTTGAAAGGCCATGTTTATTGATAGCAAGAAGGAAAAATAAGTTGTAAAACAGCAAAAGAAGATTTTGTTTTAGTAGTAGTGGGGCAAACATATGGATTTGAACCTTGTTGAATAATAAACATTACTAACAATGTTTATTATTAATAAACAATATTCATTAAGTATCATTAATACTTATTTTATATATTTAAATAGTGATATTATATATATACACACACACATACACACATACATATATAGTGTTTATTAACTGTTCATCAAAATATGTTGAATATGTTGTAGGGTTAGGGATGTAGTTCAGTGGTAGAATGGTTGCCTAGCAAAAGCTACGCTCTGGGTTTCATTTCTAACAAGCACACCTTTTCAATATTTTCTTAGCCTTTCCAATTCAATATTCTTGTTACTTATCCCTTATTCTTGTTACTTGTCTGGCTATTTGACTTCTGTTGTGTTGTTTTATTTTTTGTTGAGGTGTGTTTTTTTTTTTTTCTTTTTTTTCTTATTTGCTTACAATCCACTGCTCCCCTGCCTTCCTTCAGGGATCTATCTCCTCATCCATGAAGTACTGGGAGGGATAGTGGATATTAGACAGGGTTAGGAAGTTTAAACTATAGAAAATAAGATCTCAGGTAAATGCAAAACAAAAGGAGACTGATACAGCTATATTCTAATTAGGAAAACTACAGAGTTCAAGGTAAGAACCATTACTGGAGATAAGGAACGCTAAACACACTAATGTTATCTATTTGTTCTAAGATTATAATCCCAAACTTAGATTCACCTAACATTAAATCTTCATAATATACAATCCCCCACTGACAGAGCTATATAGAAATGTCTTTCTCCGAATGTATTTACAGCACACTTATAGTATTCTAGATAATGACAGATGTGCCCAAAATAAAGAAGTATCTAAATTCTTTGAGTTGATATTACTAATGATGGTAATTAGGAAATAGAATTGAATGGTAATGAACATGGCATTAATAAAACTTTATGTAATATGGTGAAACAGGTATTGCCCTGAATGGTGCCTTTATTGGAAGGGACATGGTAAATGAATCCGAATGAGTCTTGCCCAGATGACACAAACAATAAGCTTACCGCCACTGGATCCTTCAGGTGAAGTTGTGCAGCTGTTACTTGTCGAAACCCACCAGGGTAGCTGTTAGAAGAAGAAACATGTTAAGCTGACCATCCTTTCATAATAACCAAATGATTCTAACAAATTACATCTTGCTTCTGGAAACTTTATTAAAAATTAATGTACAAACATATATATGTACATACATGCAAGTTATCCTGACCACCACACAAGCATGTGTATTACATGTACATGCATACTCACAAGTATACATGCATGCATACATACATACACATTAAAAATAAATAAATTAAATAAGTATGATATGCTGTTTAAAGCGTATTATTCTTGTGTCTATAACGATTTCACAGATAATGGTGAGGCATTGGTGTTATGTGTGTGTGTGAGGCAGTGTAATAAAAACTGTTATTTGACCCATCTGATTTTACAAAATTCTGAATCAAAGGAGAAAATCTTATTTGTGAAAGTGTAAGACACTGACAACAATACATCGTTATGAGTGCTTATCCTAGCTAAAAGAAACATTTAGCATTACCTAAATTTAAGTTACTTTGAAGAAATACTGAAAACATTTTAGGATGACTGAGTAAGCCAAACATTAGGACTTCAACTTAAACATATTAAATATTTACCAAGAGAGATGAGTCATTTTCAAACTGCTACGACTTATTTGTTTCAAGGAATTTCAGTTTTAAAAGAAGAAACACCGGTCTAGACGTCTATTCCTATAGTCTTTCCCTTCATGGAAAATTACCTTGTGATGTCTATGCTAAAGACTATCCTTCTATTTTTAACACTGGGCTGGCAAATTCTAAAGCACAATACCAGTTATGCTATATTTCAGGACTTTGGACCTTCTCCTAAAGGACCTGGAAAGCTAATGCAAATCCCAAGCAGGGGATGACTCGAGTAATGTGATATGCAATTGATTCTCACAAGGGAAAAGCAACTACATTTCTTCCCTTACTGAAATGCCTTGGAGCAGTAAAGGAATGTGATTGATATGACAGTCACGAGATTCTCATATAAATGAACTCAACATACACCCTCTATGCATCTGTTTGCTGCGCATGAGGGATGCACAGGTTCACAAGACAGCACCCTGTCTTAAAGAGAGTGATGACAAGACTTTTGGCAGTCATGTCAAAACATTTCGGTGAATTTAGACAAGGTAGTTCAACATGAAAAGCAATGAGAAGGCAATGCTCAGCTCATAAATTACTTGTTCAGAAAGGACTTTCTGAGACAGGAAATCAGAAGAATTTCAATGGTAAAGCCAGATTAAATTATATAAAAATGAAGTAACAGTAAAGAATACCATAAAGTTTTTAAGAAACAAAAAATTTAACAATAGACTAATATTCCTACTAGACTAAAAGCACATAAACTGTGGGGATACAACACTTGCAGACAGCATTGGAGGATCAGGAGTTCAATCAAGGCCAGATTCAGCCACATAACAAGCTCAAGGCAGGTCTGGGCTGCATCAAAGTCTGTCTCAGAGAAGCCCAAACAAGTAAGTTATGCCCCTCCCCAGAAAAAATACTCAAAGGTAGAAGATAAGAAACCTCACTATTACTATTAAGCAAGTGAAAATAATCAGATGTGCATAAAAACTGTAGAACCTAACACTACTAAGTCGTTTTTAATGTTGTGTTATGGCACAGTCATCAAAAACCAGGTGCACTTCTGCAATGATAGAATGACTCTGGAAAAGACCTGTAGTGATATATTGTTTATGATCTAATAAAGCTTGCCTGAAGGTCAGAATGCAAAGCGAGCCATAGTGATAGAGGCTGGGTGGCGGCGGCATACACCTTTAATACCAGCACTAGAGAGGAATATAAGACAGGAGCCCAGAGTCTCACGCAGTAGTCAGGCTGTAGTCACACTGAGGACAGGATCACCCAGCCTCGGCAGCAGCAAGAACTCTCTAGGGGCTTAGCTGCTTTGCTTTTCTAATCTTCAGCTTGAATCCCAATGTCTGCCTCTGAGTTTTTATTATCCGTATTACATAATGGCATCCAGCTTAAAGGTATGAATTCATGAAAAAGCCACAAAACCACAGGCCTCCTTGTGCACTGGACCCAAGTGCTCCATGCATATACATGCATGCAGGTAAAAACATACATACACATAAAATAAAAAAATAGTGGAAGATCAACATTTATAAGCATAATTTGGATGACAGTAGAGAGTTAGGTTTAAGTAAATTTCTCCTTTCATTTGAAACTCTGGGTTGACTCAGTATAGGTCGCAAAATCAGGATCTCAAAATAAAATATTGGAGATAAAAATCTAAAATGGAGCGAAAGTAATCTCTTGTTAGTGGATTAACACAACTAAAACATATATAAAAGAAGAGGCATAATTTAACGAGGACATGTGGGAAAAAAACTTATGAGTTTGGGCTGACAGTAAATGTTATGAAGCACAATATTGATATGGCCTTGAAGACAATCTATTTACAGTGAGAGAGGGCCTAGCTGGAAAGAAAGAACCCCAGTGTCCTCGAGAACTCACAGCGCACCCAGTAAGTCATTTGCCAAAGAGAGATGGTGACAGACCAGATGGGAGCTAGGCAGAGCTAGGCAGGAGTGCTCATGCTTTACCCTCCGTGGCAGATTTCCGTGTTCAGACGGGGCTGCGGATAGACGGAGTATAGGCAGGAGAAAGATGGACGCTGTACTGTGTGGTAGTCTGTTTTTGTTCACTAAGCTAAACATGCAATATTAGTAAAATCAGGGTTCTCTTACAAGCCCATGTTTAAAAGCACCACCCTTTTCCTTTGAAACAAGGGCAAAAGTATTATGGAAGACTCACATCTGAACTGTGTTCCTTAGCCATGGCGTTTTCTTACCCAGTATGTGAGGAGTACACTTTCTGCTCCCATTTGTTTCCAGAAAATGCAATGTGTCTTGTGTTTATTATGACAACATGATCTCCACAGTCACCTGGATTTCAAAGGAAGCAAGGCAGAAAGACTTCGTATGAAAACATCAAAGCCTTATAAAACACGGCTTGATCATTTAGTTACACATTCAAAAATAAAAAGCACAGTGCAACATCACAACCCTTGAGCACATTTGCTCCCTTCGATACCATGAAAGCACAGAAAGAGCTGGCGGGCTGCTTGGAAAATCTCAACCCTGGAAGGTAAAAGACATTTTCTAAAGATGACAATGAAGACAACACATGCTTTAGAGGCAAACTATTATTTTTCCTTGCTCCTCCCACTGATAACTCTCCTGCTAAAATGTTTACATTTAAATATTTCTATTAGAGTTACCTTTAAGTGTTCCTTTACAAATAGCAAAGAAAATGAAAACAACATGTACACGAAAGTACAAAGAGCATTTTAACAATAGGCAAATTAGAAACAAATGTGAGACATTACAATTGATTATTATTCTTTTCAATTTTAGAGGACAATAGAACACTATAGCTTTATGCTTTAAGTACTACCACAAGGGGTTTTCCAACCACAATTAACTAGTTAAATCTAGAATGGCACTCTCAGCAATGACTGCAAACATACTGAACAGTGCAGATGACCCGAAAACCAAAATGCATGTATTGTATTGACTTCCTTAGGAAAAAGACCTTTACGTTTGTATCTGCCTAGAAGTGTCAACATGCAAGTTTTCACATAAACCACTGTTCCTAAAGTCACTAACTAATCTGAAATCTTAAATCACTATTCTACTACTTAGAAACAACAAACTTCAAGAGATTTTTGAACCATATTTTTAAAACGTCACTTAAAATAATAAGTATAAATTACTACACTACTATAAACTCCAAAAATCGCATGAAAAGGTTCTAGGCAAAGAATGAATTTGACCACAGAATTTTCAGACAGGTTCGTATTTTAGGATCACAGGTGAAGGAAAGGAGATAAAGTAGTAGTTTGCATTGCCAGTGTAAAAGGGGTGAGAAGCTAAAGGAAATAAAAAGCCTGCTGATGGGCTGGAAGGGAGCGTCTGACGGTATCTGCCCAATGAAATGACAAAAGCTCCTAAAAGTGACAAATGGTGGACAGGGAGCCAGGAGATCAGCTACGGAGGGTGTGAAATGTCCCAGAATGCCCTAGCATGTGGGAAGGAGCCCAGCTTCAGACACTTCCTAGCTATAGCAGCCGGGCCTTTCAGGGTTAGGCTATTTGCTGACACTCACACAGGACTATTGAGTCAGGCTCAGCTGTGATACCTATTGAAGAAAAACACCCAAATCTTTAAAAACTTTAAAAATGTAAAAAACATCTAGAGTCACTTAAAAACTTTACAAACATAAAAAAGAACCCTTTGAGGGTCATTAAATACCACAAATAAGAAAAGCAAAAAGATCTTTTCCATCTAATGCATAGATTATTTTTTCCATAGGAAGTTACGTCAAATCTCTTTATCTTTAAGACACCTTCCAACTACTTCAAAATAAAACGGATTCACAACTAAATGTTTTTAAGTGAACTATACATTAATATAAAAGTAACCACTGGTGGAAAAGACCATAGTCCTGATTAAGTATGATTGATGGCTTTTGTCTAAATTTGTTAATGAAATACAAATATCTTTACTTAAAAATTTAAAAGGTTGTTACTTTGCTTGTGTGAAAGCAAGTACATGTGTGCCACAAAGCTCACAGAGGTCAGCGGACAATGCTCTGAAGGTGTGTTTCTTCTTCCACTTTCTGTGGGTCACAGGGACTGAACGGAGGTTGCCAGTCATGCGTAGCAAGCATTTCACTCACCGAGACACACACTAGCACAATCTTAAACTTTTAAGTAGAAAATATAGTTTCTGTCCATGTATTGAATGTAAATAAATTGGCATTCCTGCATCATTTTTTTAGACTGTCATTTTATATAAGAGGTGGATAGCACAATTTCTTGTTTTCACTTATTATCGCTATTTTATTTTTTTAAAGATTACAGTGGTTTTAATTTGGATCTCCCCTTGTGTCTTGCATTGGATTTCCAAGGACCTGCCATCTGCTCACATACCCTGTTCATTAGGGTGACTTTTTAGTGTTGTTTCTTTACTAATTTCAGTTCTTTGTTAACGGTGTGGTTTTCTCTGGTCTGTAGCTTCTTTTACCCTCTTTTCATGAGCACCACTTTAGCATAGCTTTTTTTTTTCATCTTCAAGGGGCTTTCTTTTTCCTTTTTTTATTAATTTACTTTTTACATTGCAATCCCAGTTCCTTCTCTCTCCTTTCCTCCCACTGGCCCCCACTTTCCCCTCCCAATTTAAGTCAAACGAAGAGCCTAAGGTCTTAGATGTGATGTAGGGTCACGAGGCTAAGGCCTGACTCCTTCAACCAGTGCAGCACTGTTTTTATATACTGCAAGATCTGGTGTAAAAAAATTTAAAATTATTATTCAAAGTAAATAACAGTAAACGTTGGCACTGGTCTTTATGCTTACTTCTAATTTTCTACTGTCAAATTTGGAAAAACGCATGTGAACATGATTTCTGGCATCTGAGCCCATGTGTAGCCAGAGGTCAGTGTTTGACCACAAACACTGGCTGACTGTGAAGACCGTGATTAAACACTATGAGTCCCTGTCATCTACTCCTTGACCTATAAAAATCACATCTCAGAGTTATAGTACTAACCTAGCATGTCTTAGACTCAGGTGCAATCCCCAACAAAACAAAATAATTTCTAAATGGCAAGCCTGTTTGTCCATTTCCTATAACATCTCAAAAGGTTTACCTGACAAATCAAGCAGTTCAAATATTATTGATGTTACATTCTGATACCTTAATGGTCAACTATCTGCTGTTCATTTTCAAAAACAAAAAATGTGCAGAGCAATTATGAATACCTAATGCCTGGTTAACTACTGATTAGAAATAAACTTTTCAAAGACAATGCATTTATCAACCACTGGTGATTTAGAAATTTGATTATAGTGACATCTTGTGGTCATAAGGAGCTTTGCTGACGTAGTTCATGTTCAACTCAGTGAGGCAAGCAGGAATAATCTTTAAAAGGTTAAGTTTCCGATTTCTTAGACAAGCCATTCTCTACTCTTAGGAAAGGATGGCCTAGAGGCAGTCATGATAGCTCTTTCTATGTTCTAGCAGAATGTGCCCTTGTAGCATCTACAGGACACATAAGGAATAACGACTCCCTTTTAAAGAAAGAACTTACTGAGGAGGCTCATACCTGCTGTCCCTGGGGACAGAAATTAGGTGACTATGACTTGTTTTAGTTTACCTCCAATTTCTTATCACTGCTGTTTCTACAAAGACAGTCTCAGTGAAGCTGTTTACTATTTATTGATTCCATTCCCAAGGAACAAACAAAATACATGAACAGGAATAGTGTATGTACTAACAACCACATAGAATCGCCTATGTGAGAAGGCAGAATCCCAGTTTTGGTCCCAAGTACACTATGACATAGCTGAAGGACAATGAGAACGTCACTAACTTCTTCCTTCAGTTTTTCGCATACCTCTGGGTACAACATCTCAAGTCATAGAAATTGTACAAATCTGCAATTCTATCAAGATGCATGGTTTTGGTTTGCCCATTTTTTTTTTAAATCATTAATTTTTGCAGGAAGTACAAATGCTGCTATTTCTTTCAAAATTCAGTTGATCTCATTATTCATAACTTCCTATTTGTAAGTTTCCTTAGCTGTTAGAACTTGAGTTGCCTGACACACACATTGCCAGCTGTGGCTACAGAAAGCAAAGTTCTACTTCTTCTCTATTTGGTGTGGTAGTTTTTGCATCTGTATTTTTTGTTAAGTGCCTTCACTCTTTAAGTATCCCTCAACTCTGGTACTGGAATACTGTGTAATATTGCTGAGCAAAGGCATGCTGTGCAGCACCCTCTGAGAGATAATGTGTATTAAATAAGCTTAGTTCACAAATGAGTTATGTTATAATGTCACATGAGAAGAGCTATGTGTAAGAAGGGAGACCCAACTTATAGTGCAAACCAGGACACTATTAAGAGTGAAAGTAAGGGTGCTGGTGATTTTCTGTTTGGTAACAGTGTAAAATGGGTCTGTCCTGGAAGAACTGATCCTTGTGGTTTTTCTTTCAATAAGTCAAATTCAGTTTAGCACCAGATGAGGACTGAATACAGAATCTTCATATACCACAGAAAGGAACCCTTAAACACAAGTTTCACAGGCTCCTCTTCAGGAGTGTACACTATGGCTGCTAATGATGGGTCTAAGACAATACTTACTCAGCTGATGATACACTGGTTTATGTAGTCCTTGAAGCTTCTTTGATGCTATAGCGGCAAGTTTGCCAGGGGGCTGCATCTTGCCATCTAAGAGATACCACATTCGAGCAAAAGTGGCCCATTGCTTGAAAATAAAGAAAACGAAGAAAATCCTAGTGAGAATGGAAATAATTAAATACACTATCACACGCCATCATATGTATTCTACAATTAATGCCAACAATTACTTTGAAAAACAGACTAGGACTAAAATATATGTGTGTGTGTTGTGTTGTTTTCATTACCAGCTCTAAAATCTTTTCTCATTATTGTATTGAGATAGTAAGTATATCATATACAAAGTTGGGTGGCCAATTGACAACTGAAGATAATTCAAAAACTCAGTTCGAGGAGAGTTAAATATAACTGTGCAATCAGAAAACACAGCTGGAACCCAACATTTCTATGTGTGTGAGATACTGGGCATACTAGGTGAGCACTCCACCACTGAGACACATCATTAGCCTTTGAGTCAGAGTTTGGCTGTGAACTCACTCTGTACCCTGCTAAAGCTTGAACTTACAACCCTCCCACTTCATCCTCCAGAGTCTCTGGTATTGCACACTTGTCTTCAACAGACATCTTTATGTCACCCGAGGAAAAGAAATCACACTCTTCAGTATCTTCAAACTAAGAAAATTATCTATATCCCAGGAACTCTTGACCAGGTGCTTTCATTATGCATATATGCTAGAAAAATACAATTCAGCTTGGGGTTTTATATTAGTTATCCTAAACTTTAAACTAGTTCATGCATATGCAAAGACAAGTTTCCCCCATTCCTATTCAGACTAATACTTAACTACACTTAAAGGAGCTGCACTTCAAGTGTCATTAGGCTAGGAGTCATCTTGGATTAACATACAGAAAACCAATTTTTTTCTCTTCTACCTAAAATCTACTTCAGTTCCAGTTCCTATACCACAGCCTTCCAGTTGCCCAAACCAGAATCTTCAGTAATTCTCGTTTCTTCTTTCACCCACACGCAACCCTTTAACACACCGTGGCCATTTCAGCCCTCCAGTGTTTTAGCCTGACTTGTCTTGCATGGCACACTAGAATACAATTCAAACTGAGTTTCTCCTTTTGTCCTTAACAGATGGCCATCTGTGAACAGTCTATCTCCCATCAGCAGCCTGAGTGCCAGGCCTTTTTTCTGCGTAAGGCTTCTAGGTCAAAGCCCTCATACAGGTCCTCATTCTTTTCTTCCTTTCAAACAGTTTCATGTAGCCCAGGCTACACGATTTCAAGATCGTTCGGTAGCGGAGAAACATGGCCTTCAACTCCGGATCTTTCTTCCTCCACCTCCCAAGAGCTGGAATAACATGCGTGCACCATAATGCCAGGTTTACACGGTGCTGGTGATGGAGCCCAGGGCTTCCTGCATGCTAGACACAAACTGTGCTAAATCAGACACAGCTCCATCCTCTCCCTTTCCAGGCTAGTCTCCATTGTACGAAACAAAAACAAACACCTTTCAGTGGTTTTCACTGTTCCGTGTCATTCAACTTAGTAGCTCACAGAGGATACGAAATGGGCAGCATGAAGACAGAAAGCAGCACCCAACCCCCTGGCATGTGACTCCCTGTGGCGCTTCTTGGCCACGGGTGTCAGCTCTCCCGAAGCCTCAGCTTCTGTACTAAATCCCCGTGAACCACCGCTCTTCATTTTTGCGAGCGTAAGGAGCACACCACCACGCCAGAAGTGCGCGAGCTCACCTGGGGCGCCCTGGAGAAGCTGGACATGCTTCCCGACTTCCGGCGTCCTTTAGTTTCTACACCCCCAGTCGGAGCACCAGCACCATCGATCCGGCCGGAAACACAGACGGCAGAGGACGAGGGTTCCTACCGCCGGCGAGCGCTCGTCTGCTTCTCCACCGCGCTCCTCCGGTCCCGCATCTCCAGCAGCCGTTTCGTAACGAAGCGAGCCAAGAGAGTGAGTGGCTACTGAGAGAATCATTTCCCCAAAAAAATAATCGGCGGGAAAATCGACCTAAGACATTATCCCCGGCTAACCCAAGCGGCAGGAAACCGGAAGTGCGCGTTGCGCGCGGCGCTTTTGAGACCCAAAACTTTCGTCTGGGCGCGAAGAGAATGGATCGGTACTTGTTGCTCGTCACCTGGCGGGAAGGGAAGTTATCGTCGCTGGCCGGTGGGGACAGCGAGCCGGGGACTGAGGCGGCGTCCCTGGAGAGCACCGAGAAGCAGCCTGGTAAGCTCTGGGCTGAGAAGAGGCGGGAAAGACCCGCGGGGAGGCGAAGGGATTGGAGTTTATGAGGAGGTCCCGGGGGGAGGAGCATAGGTCTAGTGGTCCCAGGAAGATGCAACTCTCTGAAGAAGTTTCTGTAAGAACCAAACAGTGTAACCTTAAAGGGAAACATATAAAATTGTTGGGTCCCAGTGCCACAAGGGGTTGGCACATCGAATACTTATTTGGTTTGAATCCCCTGGTGACAGAGTAATAGGAATTCTGCTTGCTGGAAAGGTGTATCTTTAGAAAGTACGTATACCTCGGCGTTCCACCTTGAAGAAAATAAAGAAGCAGTAGATTCTACAAATCTCGGGTTACATTCTATGGAAGAGACAGTCGCACTTTTTTTTTTTTTAATGACAAATTGTAAACGCTTTTAGCTGCTTTTGATTACGTGGCTTTTTGATGTCTCTAGTCTCATTGCATCTTCCTTGTTTTGATCAAGCAGACTTTGTTTTGAGGATGAAATGTATATGATTTTTTTTTTTGGTCAGGAAGTTTTGGTTTCTTCTTACTGACTAGCATGTAGGAATCGGGAGCCTTGATTATTTTCTGTGCTTGCTAAAGCTTAGTTCATCAGCATTTGAATAGAATCTTAATCCACAGATATTCCATATTCTGTATCCAACATACTGGCCTTCATTCAGATCCCCTGATAGTAAAATTGAAACAGGCCTAGATTATGTTAATTCTTGAACCTGCTGAATTAGATGACTGAATTAGGCCCTTACTTTTACAGACTTGACAGCATCCAGTATTTATCACCTCTTGAAGAGAAGCATCAATGATTCAGTCCATCCAGATGACAGTACATTTCCTGGTAAGTATAACAGTATAACAAACCCCCCATACCTCCAGTTTGTCACAGCATTTTATTGGAAATCAGTTAGTGTGATAATTTAGGAATAGAAGAAATACTTCTTGATTTTGCATAAGTCACAGGGTTATGGAGATATCTTAAGGAAATACTCAACTACTTTACCATTCCTTCCTGATATTTAAAGTTGTTATAGAAGTTACTTTGGATTCCCAACTTGAGTTTTGGTCCCCCATCTATCTATCTATCTATCTATCTTCTATCTATCTATCTATCTATCTATCATCTATCTATCGCGCACATATATATATAAGGTAGTGTGGCATTGTGAAGACTTCTTGCCTCGAGTAAAGACACATTATTAAAGCGCCCATTCTGACTTTACCACTTATTTGTGGGTATTTTCCCCTGTCTATTCTTTTATTCTTACTGATTCTCTCTCTTTCATGTTTGTTTTTGTTTTTGATTTGTTTTGTTTTTGAAACAGCTTTCTCTGTATAGCTTTGGAGCCTGTCCTGGAACTCACTCTAGACAAATATCTGCCTGCCTCTACCTCCCCAGTGCTGGGATTAAAGGCGTGTGCCAACACCACCCTTACTGATTCTCTTAAGACAAAGAGAAAAATAACTTTGTGCTTGATAAAGATAGTCAGTCCTCATTGCTTTGACTTTTTGAAGTTTTCACTTTTTTTTTTTTTTTTTTTTTTTTTGGTAAGAAATCTTTCCTCCCTTTAGCTCTGTTGGTATTTTACAAACACATTTATTTGCTCTGATGATTTTCTTTTCTCTCTTCTTCTCCATCTGATAATGTTCTTAAAAGGCTCAGAAAATGGAAATATGAAAACAGACCAAATCCCAAAAGCTGAGGGAAATGTCTAGATGCCAGGAAGAATGTCCCTACTTTGATAGCTGCTGCTCTCCCGATTCTGTGATAATCTGCACTTTGCCTTTTCTGATTAGAAAACCCCCAGTCTCTCTGGGGCGGAGCTCACACTGAGGAATGCTTTCGAGTACGAGGAGCACTAGCCTGTTGTCCAAGTACTAATGGCACTAATTTCATAAGTTTTCATAAGTTGGTAAAGTTTAGATGGTGCTCCTGTTATGGCAGCAAAGATTTTCCCCCATTCATGCTTCAAATGTATATGTGAAATAGATCTTGGGAGTATGGGAGCATTGTAGAGGTTCTCATGAAAGTGTTCATTATGCTTGTATGGGCAGAGTGTCTTTTAAGTTTCTCCTTTTGCCTAGAAATCCAGAACTCTGCATGTGACTGTGCAAGCTGAAGTCATGCATGGCCATCCTAATACAATAACCAGTTAGATAACTCTATCAAAGCTAAGAAAAATTCTTGTTGGGGGTCAGGGAGCTGGCTCAGTGGGTAAAATTGCTTGCTGACATGGCTAATACCTGAGTTCACTCCCCAGGACCCATGAAGGAAAGAACCAACTATAAATTGTCTTCTCATCTCCACACAGCTGTGACACACATGTGTCTACTACAAACACAATGTAATTTTAAAAACTTTAAAGCATTGATTGGTTTTAAATATTGAAGAACGTGAAGCAGTAAAGGTAATATTTACTATGTGTGCTGTAAGTTAAAACACAAGACACACTGCAATTAAAGCATTTTATTTCTCTGTAAAAACTTTATTGAAAACAACCGGTCAGCAGTTTGTCATCATAAAACTTACATATATTTACTATCTTTTCAGTGCTGATGACTTATAGTCTAGTGTCAGCTTCTGGTGTTTAATTCTTTGGGCTGAGATATTCCTCCATTCCTTTATCGGGAAAGATTTTGCTGGTGTCATTTTCCTTGGGACAGACATGCTTTTGATCACATTTGTCATAGTAACTGATCCAGAAATCTTTTTTGTTTGGTTGGTTTTGGTTTTTTGAGATAGGGATTCTTTGTGTAGCTGTGGCTGTCTTGGAACTTACTTTGTAGACCAGGCTGGGCTCAAATTCACAGAGATCTGCCTGCCTCTGCCTCCCTGAGTGCTGGAATTAAAGACCGGCGCTGCCACCCGGCTGGAACACTTGTTTATATAGATTTGAATAGCACTTTCAGCACTAGCCATTTGGTTCCTTGCCATTCTTCATCTGTCTCACTATTTACCTTTTCTGGTTATCCATCAAAAGATACTCCATGAGTTTACGTCAGGAGGCCAGCGGGAAACAAACTTTAGATTCTTTGCTGTCCCTGTATAAATTGAATAGTAGATGTTCAGTTGGTGAACTGTGAAAGTAGTAGTGTGGTCACTGGCATGATACACGTTTTTTGTTTGGTAATGGTTTGTGTACTGAAAAGCTAGGTTGGTATAGTTGTGCAGACATCTTTGTAAATAGTATTGCAGCATTTGGACTTTTTCCTTAATGTAGTTGGCAGCCATTAAAGGTTTTAATTCAGGGAAGATGAGAGCATCATTATCACCTTCCTTCCTTCCTTCCTTCCTTCCTTCCTTCCTTCCTTCCTTCCTTCCTTCCTTTGTTCCTTTCGTTTAAATAGGTGTGGGTATGCGGTGTATGTGTGTATTTGCTTGTTCTCATGTATGTGTGACCTAGGAATCCCCCTTCTCTACCTCTCAAGTGCACACCTGCCTGACTGGCTTTTATGTGGGTTCTGGGGATCTGAGCTGCCGTTCTCACAGTTGTATGGCATGTACTTTTTCTGTGAGCCACCTCCCCACCTCCAGATCTGCTTTTGAGGTGCCCTAGTTGTAGTGGACACATTAGAGAAAGTTATAGCTATTGGAGTTATTGCAGAAGGGGGTGGGGAGGCAGAGAACATGTAGGAGGTGGATAGGATAGACCTGAAAGGAATTGGAGGGTGATTACCTGGTTTCATGTTGAGTGGGCTTAGTTTAGGAGAAAGGAATTCCAAAAAGACACTACAAGTCTGACTAGAATAAATGTGCTGGTGGCATTTATAAAGATGGAAGAATGATGACTTCTTTAAAACACGTTAAGATATTAAGTAAAATCCCGTGTAAAAGTTGAACAGATAGGTCTGTGGTTATCATATCATCTGTGGTTATCATCATACCATCCATGTGTAGATGGAAGCCATGAGAAACATGAGGTTGTTGATAGATGACAGGAAGACAAGGAAACTCAAAACAATCCCAGGATTCAAAGAACACCAATTTTATGAGACCTTGAAGGAGGAGCCGGAATTAGTGCAACAGATCCAAGTGATCTTAGTCACCTTGAGTCTTCTCTCTCCCTCTCTCTCATATGCTGAGAAATTAAATATCAACGAAAGTGAAAATTAATAATTTAGCAAAGAGTCCGCTATTGATGAATTTAAATAGTCTCAGTGGCATTTTGGAAACAAGCCCAGTGAAATGGCTGGGTGGTCACGGACAGGCAGCACTTTCAGGGAGTTTATGAAAATGTGAAGAAAGGAATGCAGCAGTCTGTGAACACACGAAGCTAGGACTCCATCGGGAAATGTATGAGATGTTATTTGTGGGTTTTCTATGGTTTGGAGTGCCTGGACTGGGACCAGTTTGCTAGACAACCTTGTAATGGAAGGTCGTGCCTCTTGCATTTTGGCAGGAAGGAGTGAAGAAAGCCCTAGCAGGAAAGCAAATAGAGTGGTCTATTTCCTGTGAGGACTTATACTCAATGGCTTCCAGTAAGAAAAAAGAGTGTTCCGCTGAGCTCTCTGGGAGAACTTTGCGATTGCCATTCAGCACCTCACCTTGCTCGCTCCCACAAGTTCAGCCCATGCTTCACTTTCTCCCTCCCAGCCTTGGATCTGCTTCCTCTACGTAACTCCCAAATCTTTGGCTCCTATGAGTTGTGTTCC